CAGATTATACGCATGTAATTAATATATTATGTGTATTTAATTAATAAATTATGTATTTATTATAATTAAAATATTATGTGTATTACGATTAACATATTATGTGTCTTTAATTTATTTATATGTGCATAATTTGTTAATTAAAAGTACATAATATGTTAACTGCAAACATATAATATGAATATCATTTTAGACTAGGGCTCACACTCCACATTGCAATTAAGGTGGACCCTAGTCCATGGTATAATTTGCCAAGATAATCATGGTAGGCAGTTTTTTTTTTTTTTTTTTTTTTTCTTTTAATCATCTTTAAATTTAGGCAAATTATACTATGGACAATGATTCACATTGCAATGTAGACCACAGATTAAATATTCATTTTTAATATACTAAAGGTTTATTATTAATATACTGAAAATTCATTTTTAGATAGTATACTAAATAATGAACTTTCAGTATACAAAAATAAAAATAAAAATTAAAAAAATTCAATGTATTAAAAATAAACATTTAGTATACTAAAAATAAACATTATGTTAGTGGTCCATCTTATAAGGAGGATCATGGTCCATGGTATAATGATTGTTAAACTTGAGTTTGGTCATATCACGTGTTTTGCGCAAAAATGAGTATTCAATATATATATTTGCTCGACACTAAAATGATAATTATATTAAAATTGATTAAAAATAATAAGAAATATAAATATAAATTGTAAAATTCAAAATAAATAATTATAGTATTAGAGTTAGAAAAAATTGTTTAACATATTTATTTGTAGTTTTATTTAATTATGATTTAAGATAAAATCATATTGGTTAAAGGAATCAATTAGGACACCTTTGTGTTTTGTAAGAACTATTGTATTGTGTTTAATTATAGCATATGACTCTAAAAATAATTTAATTCTCTTGATTTAAGTATTAATTAGTGACTACATTTTTTCAAAAAATATCTTATAAGATTTTTACTCTCTCTCTCTCTCTCCCTCTCCCTCTCTCTCTCTAGTGTGAAATGGAAAGCTGGCCAACCATATGCTTAGTTACAACTTGAACTCAATTGTTATATCGTAAACTAAGGTCAATAATGCATGTGTATTATTGAACCTAGTCCAAAACGAATTCATTTAATATATATATATATATATATATATATATATCACGATATTTTTGTTCCCTTTTCCTCCTTTTTTTTTCCTCACAATGGATCAGAAACACATTGATATTACAAGCACATAATATGTTAACAACATTTATATAATATGTTAATGGTAGATGAAAATTTGTAAAGCGCAGCACCGAAACTGAAGTTGTAACACAAACAATTTGTAACGCAGTTCGGGCAAACAACCCTAATCTGCGAGGCACTTCTCAATTTGAGAACTTGCCTAAATCCACTAAAAGCTCAATATTTAAAGTACACTGTTTGGAACCTGAGATTACACAATAGAATGATCTTTCCTACCAAACTATTGAAACCTAAACACATGTACTACTTTCTAGGGGAATTTAGTATCCTATTCTCAAAGAATCTCGTACCTCACAAGATTAATGTTGAATGCTTGAGGTCTACAATAAAGGACATCCCCTATTTATAGTAGCTATTCCTAACAGATTCGTGAATAACAAACTATTCCTAATCAAAATAGAACTAGAAAATCTTCAACAACAAATCCCCTTAGAACTAGTATTCTTCAATAACTATTCCTCTTAGTACTGATATTCCTTTATAGAACTGGAATTCTTTTTGCACATAACTTTGACAAAATACTTTGAGTCAACATTCTCCCCCTTTGTCAAATTTTTGGCAAACACCTTGGTCTCTGTCTTTCTCCCCCTTAGTTGATGCCACATTGGTGTTTGATTGATGGTAGATTAATGACAGGTTAGATCACTATCCCATGTGTAGCTTTTATCAGATGATCTTTTCCCCATCATAACACATTCATGTTTTTGGTTGTAGACTTTACAATTCTCTTTGGAAAATTCTACTTTGAGTTCATCATCACACAGTTGACTTATACTGATAAGGTTTGCTTTGAGTCCTTGTACCAAAAAGACTCTTGGTAATCTGGGCAGTCCATGGACATTCAAGGTACCACTTGCGATAATCTGTCCTTTTCCTCCATCTCCAAAAGTGACATGCCCTTCATTTTTGTACTGGATATTCTCAAGATAATGTGGATTTCCTGTCATATGTCTTGAACATCCGCTGTCAAAATACCAAACACTTTGTTCTTGGCTTGTTTATGAGGTATACGCAACAGCTTGTGTTTGATCCTTTCTTACCCATACTTTCTTGCTATTATTTTTGCTTTGTACTGTTCAATCTCTGTTGTTTTGTCTGTAATAGAGATCATTTTGTCTTTTGAAGCAGTATGCCTTTATGTGTCCCAATTTGTGGCAGTAATAACATCTGATTCTCATTCGGTGTTGAAAGTGATGTTGTGACACCTCAGGATTTTCAGAAGAGTGGCTTTCACTGGACGCTGGATTTGGAGATCTAGGCCTTCCATCTAGTGCCTTGATTTCTTGTAACAGTTTGGCCTCTCTGTTTTTAGATTCTAATAATTCATTTTGAGTTTCTTTGAGGCGCTTTTCTTCTCTATCTTTTTCACCTTTTAGAAACTGATTTTCTTGCATGAGCTCTAGATTCACTTTGATGATTTGTTCCCATTTAGCATACAATTGGGTATATGACTCTAGCAGTTCTTGCATATTTTCGTTTTCGTTGTCATTCTCATGATTTGCGGTGAATGCTACGAAATTAGTGTTGGTGTCTTCTTCACTATCTGAGTCATCGCTTAGTGATGCCACATATGTTTTGTTCTTCCTTTTAAAATATGTTGGACATTCTGACTGGATGTGTCCAAACCCTTTGCACTCGTAGCACTGAATTCCTTCAGGTTTTAGACTCTCCCTTCCTTTTGAAATAGATTGATTTTGTCCAGTTGGGAAGTTCCCTTGATTGATTGAAGCACTTTTGCTTCTAAATTTGTTGAATTTTTTGAGAACTCTGTTGAAATTCTTTGTTAGGAGAGCAATTGATTGTTCCATGGTTTCAGTATCAATTTCTGGACTCTCTTTCTGCTTTGATTGGAGCGCAATTCCTTTGTCATTATTTTTCCCTTTTTGCAATATCTCAAGTTCATATGTTTGAAGATTTCCCATTAGATCACTGAGTTTGTAGGTGTTTAGATCTTTGTTTTCTTGGATGGCTGTAACCTTTATCATAAATCTCTCAGGTAAGGAACGTAGGACCTTTTTGACGAGCCTAGGTTCAGGAATAGGTTCGCCTAGGTTAAACGCATCTCCAGCAATCCCTAAAACTCTTGCACTAAACTGTGAGATATCCTCATCTTCTTCCATTTTTAAATTCTCAAACTGTGTTTGTATCATTTGCAGCTTGGATTGCTTAACAGAAGTATTTCCTTCGTGATGATCACATAGTATATCCCATGCAATTTTAGCTATGCCAGTGGTAGCGATTAGTTTGAAAGTATCTTCACTTACCGCTCCATATATGGCATTCATTGCTTTTGAATTGTAATTATATTCTCTTCGCTCTTCTTCATTCCATTCTGCTTTAGGTTTTTGATTACCTTTATCATCAACTGGATTATTCCATTCTTTCTCAACGGCTTCCCAAACTCCTTCTCCTTGTGCCAAAATATAGATTTTCATTCTAGCTTTCCAGTAGGAGAAATTTGTACCAAAGAGAGCAAGGGGCCTGGTGCTTGACAGTCCTTCTCTGGGAAACTCCATTAGGATCCTGCTAATAATTTAAGCAGTTTGGCTCTGATACCAATTGAAAATTTGTAAAGCGCAGCACCGAAACTGAAGTTGTAACACAAACAATTTGTAACGCAGTTCGGGCAAACAACCCTAATCTGCGAGGCACTTCTCAATTTGAGAACTTGCCTAAATCCACTAAAAGCTCAATATTTAAAGTACACTGTTTGGAACCTGAGATTACACAATAGAATGATCTTTCCTACCAAACTATTGAAACCTAAACACATGTACTACTTTCTAGGGGAATTTAGTATCCTATTCTCAAAGAATCTCGTACCTCACAAGATTAATGTTGAATGCTTGAGGTCTACAATAAAGGACATCCCCTATTTATAGTAGCTATTCCTAACAGATTCGTGAATAACAAACTATTCCTAATCAAAATAGAACTAGAAAATCTTCAACAACAAATCCCCTTAGAACTAGTATTCTTCAATAACTATTCCTCTTAGTACTGATATTCCTTTATAGAACTGGAATTCTTTTTGCACATAACTTTGACAAAATACTTTGAGTCAACAGTAGATATATAATATGTTAACTACAATTTATAAATTCAATACCTTAAGCTCAAAAGAAAAAAAATGTTAATTTTTAATAAAGAGCGAGTCTCCTATGAGACTGATGGGAGCACGAAAAGTTTGTCATTCTCTTGGGATTGTGAGATATGACACGTAATATGTGACATAAGTAAATAGACAATATCATCATCATCATCATTTGGAAGATTCTAACCGGAAGGGAAAGAAATCGGAAGGAGACAATTCGGAAGCAAGCAGTCGGAAAGAGGGGACTCGAAAGAAGGGAATCCGAAGAAGATACGTCCAAGACAAGTCAAGTACTTCTAAAAAGACTCTTTTGTACGTATAATATATCAAACTAAACTTCTCATTTAGAAAAATTCGAATCCACTTGGATCCAACCCAATACTCAAAAGTAGACCACTTTAAATGACATTTTAATTCAAAATTTCCCACATTTAGATACTTTCTTAATATAATTGTGATTTTATTATTTACTATTTTGTCTCAAATACTGTCCACTAAACAATTGAGCTGAACCCGTACGGGTTATTATTTACTATTTTAGCATGATGATGACTTGTTCAAATTGTTTATTACGTAATATACTAATATTAAAACATATATAAGACATAATAATACACATTTGTTCTAAAATATACAATTTGCACATGCAGTCTAATCGATCTCATATATTATTTTCCGGAATTTGAAGTAGCTCCTCTTTCTTGCTGCTACTTTTGATTTCGCCATAGAAGTAGGAAACAAATCCCAAAAGGGAAAGGGCAAGAGAAATGGCCTTTTGGATTCGGAACTTCTCGCCGTAGAAGACGACGGCGAATACCTCGGTGACGGAAAGGGTGGCGGTGATTATAACGCCCGACCACAACGAGGAGCCGTAGCAGATGACCCCGACGGAGCCGATGAAGAAGAATTGCCAAACCACGGCGCTGCATGCTACCACAATATAGTACTTATCTTCACCCAGTTCAAACTCTCTTGCCTCCTTCGGGATCGCCTGCATGTAACGCTAATAATATAATTCTCATTCCAACAATATAATGTATGTAACCAAACTTTCTTATGACAACTTTAGTCAAACTGAATCATATATATTACATATGTTCAATAGTAGATTGAAACTATTTTTATATTTTTTTGGGTTATAAGGGAAATTCACTGTCACTACTCAAAAATGGGCACTAATAAACGGAGATTGTCATAGGTGACCACCTCAAACCAAGAAGGGTGAATATGTCACTTTTACTAAGAGCCGAATTTAGAACATTGTGGTTACTAAATCAATAATCTAGCTAAACATTATACCATGGACCATGGTTCACCTTGTAAGGTGGACCACTGACATAAGAGACATTTTTAATACATTAAATGTTTATTTTTTGCATCCTGACCTTCCGTACATAAAAAAAAAAAAAAAAAAAAAAAAAAAAAAAAAAAAAAAAAAAAAACTTTCACTATATTAAAAATTAACGTTTATTCATAATCTTCATTGCAATGTAGATCATGATCGAAAAAGTGTCTTTGCCCTCTTGCCGCTTGCTGACTTATTGCATTCCATTAATATACTTGACCTGACCAATTTGTCTGGGGTTGTGAGCATATAATATAACATAAACATAAATGTGCAATCCAACTATCAGTTTAGGCTTATAGTTGAAATGGAACACATGCTTCAATTGGGGTTACCCCTAGAGCATGTTTGGTTGGATTGAAAAAGTTTTCTTTAAATTTAATTTGAGAAAAAATAGAGTTCCAATCCAACCAATAGGGGCTAACCAGGGGAAAACTCTATTTGGTGAGGTAGGGTAGGAGAAACACAATGTACATTATCGATGATAGATTCGGCGAAGGCCAAATGAGTATATTCAGTTGGAATTGTCGGGATTTGGGTGGCACCTGGACAGTTCATGAATTCTTGGGCATAGTGTCTAAGGAGCGACCCTTTTTCGTCTTCTTAATGGAGACGAAAGCAAATGGGAGCAAGGTGGAACAGGTGAGAATGAAGTTGGGTTTTGAAGGGGCAGTTTTTTGTGGATCGTGTGGGCTTGGGAGGTGGTCTAGCTCTGTTGTGGAGGGATGCGGAGGCGGCTTCGCTGCTGAGCTTCTCCAACAACCATATAGACAAAGAAGTCACGCTTCCAGGCAAGCCGGTGTGGAGGTTAACTGGTTTCTTTGGTAATCCGGATAGAGAAAGAAGACATGTTACATGGGATCTTTTATAACAACTTAAGGATAGATCACCGCTTCGTTGGGTTGTTGTGGGAGATTTCAATGACATTGCTTGTCTCTCTGAAAAACGGGGTGAGCATTCTCATCCGGAGGCCCTCATTTAGGGTTTCAACGATGCATTAAGCGATTGCCAGCTTAGTGACCTGGGAATGACGGGGGGAACAATTCACGAGGGAGAAAGGTCGGGGAACAAAGTCGTGCGTGGAGGAGAGGTTAGACAGGGCGGTGGTGTTAGTGGATTGGATGGAGGTGTTCGAAGAGGCTTTGGTCCGTAATTTGTATACACTATCGTCAGACCACACTGCCATTTTCCTCGACCTGGAAATGAAGCCGGTGCGAGCAGCCATAAGTTCGTTTAAGTTTGAATCAGCCTGGCCGCTCGAGGAAGGCTGCGCAAAGATGGTCGAGGCGGCATGGCACCAAACTGTGGGAATGGATTTTCAGCAACGTATTACCATTTGCGACCAACGCTTGAGGGGGTGGGGAGGGGAGCACTTCAGATAGTTTGGGAGTCGAATAAGGAGGTTAAGGAGTTGACTGGCGTTATTGAAGGAAAATAAATCTACAGAGGCAGTAGGGGAGTTCACGGCGGCTGAACTGGAGCTAGATACTCTACTGAAGCAGGAAGAACTGTTTTGGTTGCAACGATCAAAACAACTTTGGTTAAAACATGGGGATTTGAATACGAATTACTTCCACAAGGCGGCTACTGGTCGGAGAAGACGCAACCTCTTACAACGGGTGAAGGACCAAACGGGGAGTGGAAGGAAGGGGTGGCAATGCATAATGAAATTTTAAGGTACTTTAATATTATTTTCTGCTCTGGGAATAGTAGTTCGAACCTCCTTCACCGTATTCGGTGGCGTGTCACGAACGAGATGAATGTCTCTCTGTCACAATCGTTCACGGTTGCGGACGTGAAAGCTGCCTTATTCTCTATGGCACCGGAGAAAGCTCCGGGACCGGATGACATGTTGCCGGCCTTTTACCAACATTTCTAACCCGTATTAAGCCATGATTTGTCCATGTTTGTATTAAGTTGTGTTGCCAACCGCAGCTTCCCTCGGGATTTGAATGTGTCCAACATTATGTTATTACCTAAAAAGAAAGTTCTAGAGAAAGTATCTGACTTGCGCCCGATAGCACTTTGTAACGCCGTGTACAAAGTTTTGGCCAAGATGTTGGCTAATAGGCTCAAGGGCGTGTTGGGCCATACTGTGTCGCAGTCTCAGAGTGCGTTTGTCCCCGAGAGACTGTTGACTGACAATATTATAGTAGCTGGGGAAGTGTGTCATTTTCTGAGGAGGAAAGTAAGTGGGCTATGGGGTAGGTGGCGCTGAAGCTAGATATGGCTAAAGCGTATGACAGAATGGAGTGTGGTTTCCTAGAGGGGATGTTACTGGCTATGGGTTTTAATCGGGAATGGGTAAAAACATTGATTTTATGCGTTACTACCGTTAATTACTCAATCTAGGTTAACGGGGAAACTGTGGGCACTGTTTGCCCCACTCGGGGAATCCGGTAAAGGGATCCATTATCCCCGTACCTTTTTATCCTGTGTGCTGAGGCTTTATCAATTCTCTTACAGCAAGCGAAGGCTAGTGGTGATATTCATGGGGTAAGGGTGGCGCGGGGGGCCCCGTCTGTCACGCACCTATTTTTTTGCTGACGACAGCTTGTTGTTTTTACGGAAAACCAGCAATAAGCCCTAAAAATCAAAGAGTGTTTGGATGGGTACTGTGTGGCGTTGGGACAACTCATAATATTTGATAAATCCAGTGTTGTCTTCAATACCAATACTGCTCTAACAGTGGGGGAATTGGTAATCGATTGTTTTGGGGTTCGAGAATTTAAGGACCTGGGCGTTACTATTAGCATATATTATATATTATTAGTATAAGTCAATAATTGTTATATTGACCTTGTCCTTAACCATCTGTGTAGGATCTATTTACTAGTAGTATATCTTGTAACCTTATCAGTTTGTTACTGTAATTGAATGAAACACTCGTTCCTAAACTCATCTGGTATCAGATTGCCAAGTTTCACTCCTAAAATCTCTCTTCCTTTTTTGATCTGTTTTCGATCCCTCCGTCGACCATGTCGACTTCCAACTCCGAACGCACCCTCACGGCCACCACCATTCCCACGCCGGCAACCCCCACATCCCTCAACTCTGCGCACCACTTTGTATCCCTTAAACTCACCAACTGCAACTACCTGTTCTGGAGGACTCAGATTGTGCCATTTTTGCGCGGCCAAGGGTTGATCGGGTACGTTGATGGTGATACCCCATGTCCATCGCCGATCCTCCTGCCGTCTCCCGGAGCCTCCGATGAAGCGGCTTCTTCCACAGCCAACCCGGCGTATGCTGCGTGGATCCAACAAGACCAGGCGATTCTCTCATTGTTAATTTCCTCTCTCTCAGAGGAAGTGATGTATCTAGCCGTGGGGCAGGCGACTTCTCGCGGAGTGTGGCGTGCGATCGAAACAGCTCTCGGATCATCCACGCGTGTGCGATGCCTTAATTTACTTGGGCAATTTCAGACGTTGCGCCAAGGTGATCAGACGCCAGCCGAGTATCTCGGCCAGGCTCAATTGTTGGTGGAGAACCTCGCCCTTGCCGGAAGACCAGTGTCACTTGAGGAGCAAAACCTCTATGTGTTTAGAGGTTTGCGACCGGAATTTAGGGCCATGGCAGCCACCCTTGCAGTGTCCGGCAATGCAGTATCAATACCCCAGCTCGCTGACTACTTACAGGCCCAACAATTCATCCACTCTGATGAATATCCGACAGTCCAGAATGCGTCGCCGGCGGCCATGTATGCCGGAAGAGGCCGTGGACAGTCTGGGCAGGGAGGTGGCCGGAATCACCGAGGCGGCCAGAACCGGGGAGGACAGCGTGCAGGACAGAATCGCGGAGGTGGCCGTGGTCGTGGTCCTCGCTGTCAGATTTGCAGGGCGTACGGCCACTCAGCTCTGCACTGCTATCGTCGCTATTCCGAAGCACCGCCACAGGCTCACGTTGCCATTGCAGGTGAACCGGTGCCGGAGACAGCCGCATGGTATCCGGATACCGGGGCTACCTCTCACGCGACGCCGGATGTTGGTTTGCTTGGGCAGTCCGAGGAGTACACCGGATCAGACGTTCTACGCGTTGGTAATGGCACGGGTCTAGGTATTGCTCGTGTTGGTCATGCTATCATTCCTGCTGTGTCTAAATCCTTACGTGTCTCAAATATATTACATGTTCCAGAATTGTCAGTTTCGTTATTATCGGTTAATAAATTTACTAACGATAATAATTGTTTCTTTGAATTCCATCCTGATTTCTTTGTTGTGAAGGATCGCACCACCAAAGCCATACTTCTTAAAGGACCTAGTTCGGGGGGTTTGTACAATCTCACAATTCCGCGGTCTCATTTTGGTTTCATAACGGCCCGGGCGTCCTCTCAGGTGTGGCATTGCCGGCTCGGGCATCCTCATAATCAGGCACTACAAAGGGTTCTACATAATTGTCCAGTGTCCTCAAATAAATCGAGTTCCACAGCCATATGTTCGTCGTGTCAGCGGGGGAAAGCATCTCGTTTTCCTTTAGATAGGGTTGAGCATTCCAGTAGCAATGTATTAGATCTTTTATACACTGATATCTGGGGTCCCGCGCCCGTTGTTTCTGCGGAAGGTTTCCGGTATTTTGTTCTTTTTGTAGATGATCATACCAGATATTGTTGGTATTATCCTCTCGTCTCAAAACTGACATCTATAAGGTTTTTGAGCTATTTATGACAATGGTAGAACGTTTGTTTTCACGTTCTATCAAGTCCATCCAGTCCGACTTGGGCGGAGAATACCGTCGTTTGCATGCTACGTTTAATGCCTTGGGTATAGTGCACAGACAGTCATGTGCCTATACGCATGAGCAAAATGGCCGAGTTGAGCGCCGGCACCGACACATTGTAGAGACTAGGCTTGCGCTTTTAGCTGAAGGCTCAGTCCCATTGCGACATTGGGATTCCGCTTTTGAAACAGCTACATATCTAATCAATCGGCTTCCGTCGTCTGCCCTACAGTTTGATACACCCCACTACCGTCTATATAAAACACCACCTACATACACCTTTCTACGTGTCTTCGGGTGCTTATGCTTTCCCTATCTACGGCCATACAATCGGCACAAGATAGAGTATCGCTCAGCCCCGTGTGTCTTCTTAGGATACCCAGCTTCCTTTAGAGGTTACCGATGCATGGACATAAACACAGGCAAGACCTATATTTGTCGCCACGTGCGCTTTGATGAAAATGTGTTTCCTTTTGCAACTGCTTCTTCAGTACAGGACACAACACCACCAGTCGCAGAAAGCCAACCATGGGCTTCTTGTCCGGTCATACAAGGAACTACAGGTGGACCACCCCCGGCACCACCGATGCGCTGTACCGCCACAGCTCCACCACAAGTTCGGGCCACCAGAAAAAGGGCCCCAAAAAGACCACCGGGACCACGGGATCATGTGATGCGGTTGCGGCACATGACTAAAGGCACCGGTGAGCAACTTCAAGCTTTAACCGCAACAACTGATCCACCGGATCCCACCTGTTACACGCAAGCTATTGGTCATCCACAATGGCGTGACGCCATGGACCAAGAATTCAACGCCTTGCTACACAATGACACGTGGCGGCTGGTCCCTCCGACACCCAACATGAATGTGATCGGGTGCAAATGGGTGTTTCGCACCAAGCGAAAGGCCGATGGCTCAGTGGAACGCTACAAGGCACGCCTTGTTGCAAAGGGTTTCAATCAAGTTTCTGGTGAAGACTTTTTTGAAACATTCAGCCCAGTAGTCAAGCCGACTACAGTCCGCATTCTGTTCTCTTTCGCAGTCTCTCGGGCCTGGACTATGCGGCAACTGGATGTCCACAACGCTTTTCTCAATGGCCATCTGGCTGAGACAGTATACATGCGTCAACCCCCGGGTTATGAAGATCCGGACCATCCGGAACATGTCTGCTGTTTACAAAGATCCTTATATGGGCTAAAGCAGGCCCCACGGGCCTGGTTTCGCCGTCTGCATGATTTCTTACTCTCTGCAGGGTTTGTAGCATCCAAAACGGATGTTTCTCTCTTCCACTACTCCACTGGGGATTCACGTGTCTTCTTGCTTGTCTATGTGGATGACATCATCATGATGGGTAATGATTCCACATTGGTAGACACTCTCTTGCAAAGACTGGCGTCCACTTTCAAGATTCGGGATCTTGGAACACCGGGTTTCTTTCTTGGCATAGAAACCATATCCGCAGGGGACTGCATACTCTTATCACATCGTCGTTACATGAAGGACCTTTTAAATCGAGCAGGCATGACTGACTGCAAACCGCTCGCAACTCCTGCCGCCACAACTCAAGCTGTTACACCTTCGACTGATCCCTATGACAACCCTACTCAGTATCGACGGCTTGCTGGTGCTCTGCAGTATCTCACCATCACTAGACCGGACCTGTCGTTTGCCGTGAACAGACTCTGCCAATTCATGCATGCACCCACACATGAACACTGGGGTCTTCTCAAAAGGGTTCTACGGTACGTAAAAGGGACGCTGGATCTTGGATTGCGTCTATCTCCTTCACCATCCTCCGACATACATGCTTTCTCAGACTCGGATTGGGCAGGCTGTCCGGTTGATCGAAAGTCTACAAGTGGTTATGCAGTTTTCCTCGGGACCAACCTTGTTTCTTGGGTATCTCGGAAGCAACGCACTGTAGCCAGGTCGTCAACTGAAGCCGAGTACAAAGGCCTTGCGGACGTCTCGGCAGAGGTAACCTGGGTAGTGTCCCTACTACGTGAGCTCCGGTTACACTCAGAGACTCCGGGCACCCTTTGGTGTGACAATCTAGGCGCCACCTATCTCTGCGCTAACCCAGTTTTTCATGCAAGGACCAAGCATGTTGAGGTGGATTATCACTTTGTACGTGATAAAGTATCCTCCGGGGATTTTAAAGTCAATTTTGTCTCGACGAAAGACCAGCTGGCTGATATCTTCACCAAACCGCTAGCTGCGCAACGTTTCGGGGATCTACGTACCAAGCTCAATGTTATTCCGTTACAACCTTGTGCTTGAGGGGGAGTATTAGCATATATTATATATTATTAGTATAAGTCAATAATTGTTATATTGACCTTGTCCTTAACCATCTGTGTAGGATCTATTTACTAGTAGTATATCTTGTAACCTTATCAGTTTGTTACTGTAATTGAATGAAACACTCGTTCCTAAACTCATCGTTACCTGGGTCATCCTTCGGTTATGGGAAAGAACAAAATCACTACTTTTCGGTATGTTGAGGAAAAGATCAGGGAACGTATCGGGTCGTGGCAACATAAACTCCATTCCCAGGCAGATAAAGAGGTATTGCTGAAGAACATAACTCAATCTCTCCCTATATTTACTATGTCTACTTTTTTGTTACCGGCTCGGGTCTGTGACACGATAGAGAAACTGTTTAATCGGTATTGGTGGGGAGGTGATGGCACGAGTAATAAGGGGATACATTGGTTGAGCTGGAGCTATTTATGTGAGCCGAAGTTTAGGGGAGGATTGAGATTTAAGAAACTACATGAATTCAACTTGGTACTTCTTGCAAAACAGGATTGGCGTTTGTTAATTCATCCGGACTCACTGGTTAGTAGGTTGTTGAGGCCAAATATTTTCCCAATTGTGACTTTATGGAGGAAAAATTAGGAGGGAATCCCAGTTATTTTTGGTGTAGCATATTGGCAGGACAGGAGGTACTACGGCGAGGTTTAGCTCGAAGGATAGTGGATGGTTTAGGTACAAAGATATGGGGCTGGGGCTGACTTTCTAATCCTTCTAATCCGGTTCTAACCACACCATGCATTGAGGAGCTCAAAGAAGCTAGAATAAGCGAGCTGCTGGATGAGTATGGCGATTGGGATACAGGCGTTATGCGTGACTTATTTCGAGAAGATGATGTGCACAGAATCCTCTCAACTCTTGTGAATAAAGAGCTCAAGGATTCATGGAGGTGGATCGGTGATATACAGGGGTGTTACACGGTAAAACACGGTTATCGAATGCTTACCGAAATTCCAGTACACTATAATTCTGAAGGTATATTTCATTCGTGGAAGCATTTGTGGTCATTGCCGGTGCCTCCCAAGGTGAGAAACCTCCTTTGGCGAGGCGCTCGTGATGTGTTACCAGTTCGAGAAAATCTAAAGCGGAAGAGGGTTTGGATTGGGGGAGGATGCCCTTTCTGTGGATTCATAGTTGAAACAACAGAACATATATTCTGCATTCGGGCTGAAAGGTTATGGGGCGAGATAGATATACTGAAGGGACGTTGCATGAAGAGCTTTCTAGAATCCATCCTAGGCAGTTCAAATATAGGTAGGGTTGTCAAGATGGTAGCCATCATATGGACTCTATGGAACACAATGAACCAGATTGTATGGTGACAAGCATCACCGTCAGTTGAGGGGCTGAGAATTCAGGTCAAGAGGTCACAATTAACGTGGACAGGCATTCACAATTACCAGACGTCCGGTGGATAATCGCGACATCGCTAGTCACTGGATACCGTCGCCACGCAACTCCCTCAAATGTAACGTGGATGCGACTATCTTCGGGAATGGAGCAGGATTCGGAGCAGCCGTCTGACACCATTCCGGCCGATTTGTTGCTGCTAGATGCGGCCGCATTGCAGGCACCCAGGATCCCTTCATGGACGAAGTTCTCGCGGCCAAAGAAACTCTAACATGGCTGGCGGGGCTACGGCGGAATAATATCATTTTGGAATCTGATTGTTTAAATTTTTGTAATGCTTTCAATTCTCGTGTGGTAGATTATTTTACATAGGTATAATTGTAAAGCAATGTCTGTCGATTGCTAGAGACATAGGGGACCGTCAAGATCCACCATGTCAAGAGAACAGCAAATCAAGTAGTTCACGAACTCGCTCGAGCAACTACTTTTTCGTCTGTGTCAAGGTCGTGGGCTCTTATCCCACCTACCTGTATTGCTAGTTTATTAAATTCTTAATGAAATGTCGTTTCGTTTGCTTCAAAAAAGATAACCACATTTTTAATTTGTCAGTAGGGAAGACAACCAATTACATCCTTGCTTGCATAAATATACTAAAATATTGGCATGAATTTCTTAATCTTATCTAATTATTATAATGAATGAATTAATTAATAGGATGAAAAATTGCACTTTTTAATTAGTCCCTAAATTATAAGTTAATTGTAGAATTTATCCTGAGTGTTAGTTCTATTCACTTTTTGTCCCTAAATTAATATTAATATTACATTTTTCATAAGTAATAACTTAAGAATGAAAAGTGAGTATGATCAATATATATGAATAAATTTTACCATTACTTTATAACTTAGGAACAAAAAGCAATTTTCCCTATATGCGATGGAGATCACCTGGAAATCCTTGTTGACTAGCATCCCGGCCGTACAAAACGCGGTGGAGAAGAAACACATCACCACCTGAATCTCCAGAACCAAACCATACGTTATCGCCTGCCTCGCCTTCACGTACGTCAGCTCTATCACCGGCAGTATAAACCCATAAAGCGCCGCCGCTAAAACCGTCACCACAAACCCAATAACGTACTCTCTGCTCGCCTCTCCGGCGGGCCGGTCGCCGCTGGCACCGTGGGCGAGAATCCCGGCGCCGACGGTGAGCAGGGCGATGGCGGCGAGGGTGAAGGCGGTGAAGCGCTGCCGGACGAGGAGGAAAGCGAAGGCGGCGGTGAAGGCCAGCTCGGTGGCGTAGATGAGGGACTGGGTGGTGACGGGGAGCTTCGACATGCCGTAGGCGTAGAGGAAGGAGTCCAGGCCGTTGATGACGCCGATGGCGGCCGCCGCGGCGAATAGGTTGCGGGTCATGAGGACGGGTTTGGCGGCGGGGCCTTGGCGGCGGCGGCGGTGGAAGTAAGCGGCGGCGAGTGGGAGGAAGGTGAGCGGCCAGCCGCCGGTGTTGATCCAGCTGGAGAACCATATTCGGTTGCCGCCGCGGAGGAAGTAGAGGCGCATGGTTAAGGGGCCGCCGCAGTTGCCGATCCCTAGCAGAGCGCAGTTGAGGAGGAGGAGGAAGAGTTTTCCGGCGCCGTAGTTACCGTTATTTACAGACATTTCTTGAAAGATCTAATAAAATTTAGCAATCTTGCGAAATAGATGAAATGAATATTTAGCAGAGAAAAATAATGTTTTTTTTTAATAGAAAATTTATCTGGTAGGCTGGTAAGATGTTCAGAATGTCGTACTATATATCCGATTGTTATGCCGTGTAACTATATACACCTTGCAAGGTAGACATGCTTTTATGTTCATAATTATAAAAATCTTTGGTTATAATTTTTGAATTTCATATTCATAATTACAGCACGTTTGGTTCGTTGGAAAATATTTGAAGGGATAGAATTCAAATTTCATGAAAAATAAATTACTAGGAAAATAGATTCCATTGTTTAATAATAAAAATTATTAATTTATAGCCACACTTATTGGTCGTTGGATACTTGTGTGTGTGTGTTAATGTCATTTTTTATCCTAGACTTATTGGGATGTAGACAATTTTTATCCTCCATAATAAAATTACCAATTTGTAGCCACGCTTATTGGTCGTTGGACACTTTTAGTTCTCCGTCAATGAAACTGTCAGTTGACCGTGAAATAGAAGGGAAAAATTGTCATTTTATATGTTCTTCTTCTTTGTTGTATTAGTCTAATGTTTTTTACTTCTAAACAACAACCCACCCGAAGCTCAGCCATTGCAAATTGTGTTCTTCTTTGTAAGCTTACAAGTGTGGGTTTCTTCCGCCAGAAGTAGTCGTAGGTGTTGACGAATGCGGTGGTGGCGTGTGGCGGCGCCGCTAGACTTAGACATGCAACTCCCGCTGCCGCCGGTGGAAGTGGAGTAATGATGAGATCCTCCTCCTCCTCTTCGAAATCCACTTCCTTGTTAAATCACAATGTGTTTTTCTTGAATTGCTTCATAAATGGTGGAGTTTACGTATTTGGCAAATTTGGATTTATTCCCATTTCTTTTCTTAATTCTTGCTCATCATCTTCATCTCATCGATAAGAATAGTATCATCGGTTTCTTCAAAATTGTCAAACACTTGAGTGGTGTCCCCTGTCTCTTGACGGATGGCTTCTTCTGAGGCAGAGATGTCATTGCCAAGGGTGAGGAGAAGAGATAGTCGCACTGGGGGATGGAAACGGCTTCAAGAATCAGGCGACCATTCTGCCGGCGAGAGAGCACTTGAAGGGAAGCCTTTTTCTTTGCCAGAGAAGGCAGAGGAGGAGGGAAAGATTTGGGCGGCGAAGAATCGTCCTCAGTGTATTGAGACGAATACGAGAGATCTGACCTCGTATAAGAGCGGAAGCGTAGCCGTGTTGATCTCGGTAGACCATTAGTCATATTTTGCCTCATACCTGACTCAGAACCATGGATGGTGTATTGGTGTCTACTGAGCAGTATGAGTACCATAACTGAATGTGCTATATCATTAAGCATCGTGTATCCCATCAATCCAGGATTATATTAGGCATAGAGTTTGGTGGACTAACAACTTCTAGTTATTCAGTCCAACTAGACCACTTAATAAGCCTAGTCAATTTGCACCACTTAATTAAGGCCCTAATATATAATAGGGATAAGAGTCAAATAAGCCCTCTAACTACATTGATTTGTGCAATTAAGCCCTTTAACTTTAAAAAGCTCCAATTAAACCCTTGAACTCAAACAAATTAGGCAATTAACACCTTTTTACCTGTTTTTGCAGGTTATTTACCGGTTACTGCCAAGTCACCTTTTTTATATTATTATTTTGAATTTTTTATTTCATTATTAAAAATATTCCGTATTTTAACTCCCGTTGCCAACGCCGGTGGATTTGCCCGTCGCCGCCGTTGACCCTTCTCCAGTATGCGTACATGTTGTTTTATGAAGTATGAACATCACATGAGCTTATAGCCCACTGCCTTTTCTTCCACTCCTATTGAAAACCCAACAATCCCCTCTCTCGCTCTCTGTAATATATACACACATTCAAGAGTTAGAAAGAGACCAACCCTCCAACCCAGATTTTATATATATATATATATATATATATATATATATATATATATATATATATATATATATATATATATATATATATAGAGAGAGAGAGAGAGAGAGAGAGAGAGAGAGATTTTGCATACAAACAAGTGTGTATATATACACGAATCAACCTTGAGATTGATTTGTAATGTCTGAAATGCTTCTGAATCCGCCGGAGATGTCTGTTTTGCTTCAAAGACTACTGTGCTGTGACGACGGGCGGCAAGGACGAGGACGGCACCGTCGTGGTGGACATCCCGCCAGGGAACACGCGGGAAGAGACGTGCGTGTTCGTCGACACTATCGTGAAATGCAACCTCCAGTCGTTGGCGCAGATCGCCGAGAGCTCCGGCAACGAAACGCGGCTTGAATGGGTTTACAGGCGTTTCCTCTGATCTGGATTTTGCTGGTGAATGGGTTTTTTTCCGGCAGATTTGACGATCGGCGGTTTTTGCCATATTGGATTTGACGATCGGCGGTTTTTAATTTATTATTATTATTATTAAGATTAAGATGCCAAATCAGCTTTAAAAATCTAATCAGCAATAATTTACAGGTTACTTGAAGGTAACCTGCAAAATAGTCTAATTGCATTTTTTTTTATTAATTTAAGGTTCTAATTGAAGCTTTTTGGAGTTGGTGGGTCTAATTGCACAAATCAATATAGTTAAAGGGCTTATTTGACCCTTATCCCTATATAATATATAATATATATTATTAGGAAAAATCTTGATCACACCACTTCCTCCGCCGCATCTAAATTGAAGTTCTTGATCACACCAAACATCTTCTTCAAAATTCCTCGTGTTGGTTGTTGCTTAGAACACACCACACATGTTGTTTTTGAAATGGGGACCACAATTTGAACGTGTTAATTTGTAAACTGAAATGGAGAAATACAAAGAAACGAAGAAGAGCACATAAAAAGACAGCTTTGCCCTTCTATTTCACGGTCAACTGACGGCTTCATTGACGGAGGACTGAAAGTGTCCAACGATCAATAAGTGTGACTACAAATTGACAATTTTTATTATGGAGGATGAAAACTGTCCACACCCCAATAAGTCTAGGACCAAAAATGACATTAACTCATATGTGTAATTAATAAACTTTGATGAGGGTAAACTAGTCCAATTGTGTTATACATTCTTCCCAAATCCTTTGGAAAACAAAATATCAATCCTTTGCAAGGATTTTGTTTTCTTTCACTTTGGGGAAGTCAAGTTCCAATGGAAAATATTTTCCATCCAGCCAAACCACATTTTCCTACACTCCTAGGAAAATGTTTTCCATCTAACCAAACACCCCCCCCCCCCCCACCCCCCTTATTGAATTCTATATTCACAAGTACAAAACTCTATGTTCATAATTACTAAACTCTATGTTCATAATTATAAAATTTTATATTCATAATTTTTGAACTTCATATTCACAAGAGTTAATTACCAAAATAGTTCATTGGCTATAGCGAAATTACCAATTTGATCCTCGACTATTTTTTTGACCAATTAAGTCCCTCAACTTTAAAAATCTTAACCAATTTGGTCCTCCGTTAGTTTTTTCATTAGAATTTCGTTAACTTGGGACCAAATTGATAATTTTTCTGTAGTCAAGGGACCATTTCAGTAATTAACTTTAGGTGTGGGCAATTCGGTTCGATTTTCCCGAACTGAACTGTACCGAACGATTCGGTTAAAAACCGAAAAGAAATACTATTTGATTTTATTTAAAATATAATAATAATAATAATAATAATAATAATAATAATAATAATAATAATAATAATAATAATAATAATAATAATAGTAAGAAGAAGAAGAAGAAGAAGAAGAAGAAGAAGAAGAAGAAGAAAGAAAGAAAATTTGTTCAATTGATTTTTTTTTGCAGGTTGAATATGGACCTCATGTTTGACAGTCGTGACTGTCCGACTATCCTCGCCGGACGGACAGCCAGTGGTTTTTTTTTTTTTTTTTTTTTTTTTTTTAATGTTTAAAAAAAAAAAAAAAAAAGAGCAAATTGGGTCCCCCAAAAAATTCAAATGTTTGATCACTTTGTTACAAAAATAGTCGAATTCGCAAATTGTGTTGTGGACCCGAGTCTTAAAGGTGTCGTTTTGCTTCAAAACGACGCGGTCTCATTTTTTTTTTTTTTTTAAGAAAAATTGCTTACTTCCTTGCTGTTAATTTACCGTTTGCCTTTAAAATTCGTTCCTCTATATTCACAATTTTAGAACTGAATATTCACAATTTTAAATCTCAATATACAAAATTACATAACTCAATATTCACAATTGCATAACTCTATATTCACACTTTTTGAACTCTATATTCACAATTTTAGAACTGAATATTCACAATTTTAAATCTCAATATACAAAATTACAGAACTCAATATTCACAATTGCAGAACTCTATATTCACACTTTTTGAACTCTATATTCACAATTATATCAATAGTATAACACAATTTTTGAATCTATATTCACAATTTTTGAACTCTATATTCGTATAAAAAAAACATTGGCTAAGGAAACAGTACCACTGACGACATTGTTATTCCAAACGCGCAAAATTGCGTCATTTTAAATCTGAGTCCATCTTACAAGGTGGAGTGTTCCATGCCATAACAATTGATCTAGCTTCAATTAGTCTTTTGTTTTTTGTTTTGTTTTGTTTTTGTTTTTTTTTTTTTTGGGCCACCACCATTTCAAGGAATAGAAGAGAGTAATCTTCTTTGCTTTGATTAACTCCATCTAATTGGGCTTCTCACTCCATAATACTTTTAAATATTTTATGTTGAGTTTAAATACTTTCAAGCCTAAGATGAGCCAATTGTTATACCATGGACCCATTGTAGAGTTTTTTTTTTTTTTAATGCTACTAGCTTTATTACATTGTAGTATCTGAGGCTTGAACTCACAACCTTCTAAATGGAAGTCCAACCCGGATACTATTGGACCACATAGTCCTGGACCCATTGTAGAGTTAATTCAAAACAATATTTAAATTATACACATGTAATTAATATATTATGTGCATTTAATTAATAAATTATGTGTCTATTACAATTTACAAATAATGTGTTTTTAATTTATTTATTTATATGTATATAATTTGTTAACTAAAAGTAG